TGGCACGGCATGATTTGAATGCGAATTTTCTACCAATTGAGTCGCTTGAAAGGCATTGACAGGCCATTGTTGATGTTCCGCGGAAACGAGTATCAGTCTAACTCGTTTTAAGCCTGTCAACCGGTAGACAAAAATTTTACATCTGCTTACTCTTCGATATCTTCAATTTCTACTTTAGTACCTATTCCCGTTAGACGCTCACTTATTTGCGCTCATCCTTCGTCTTTGGATATGTGCATATACCATAAAAAGTTTATGCATTTGTCTGTTTACACGAACATCCAGCTTTGGCCTCTGTTTGCATCCTTATGCATTTACTTTTCTACTCCCTTATTTACTTCTCCTTTGACGCCTCATTCTCACCTTCAAGTTGAGAGCTTTGAATGTGTAGACTTCGAAGTATTAACAAGCAAAATTAAAGTTTATAGCTGTTGGAATGCCGGACTCCCATTTTCGCAATTAGGGACCAATCTGACAGCATTCTTTTAACGTAATGAATGGTGCGGTTTTGATCTCCATTTGCATGCCTTCAGTCAGGAGCGCCTTATTTTAAAGGCAGAGTTAACAGTAGCTATGTAGCAAGAATAGTTTGTAGTTTCCAGCTTCCTTCCAACAAAGTGGTATTCATTTATCAGCTTCACAAGAAAGATAGATGACCTGACCAGCGCTCGAACCTATGATTTCTCACTTCTGAGTTCGATTTTCTGTCGACTGAGCAGCATCGGCTTTCAAAGTAGGTGACCCACTGTTTGACAATACTGGAACTGAAGTTGAAGCTTCATGCGTTGTTCCGATTATTTTCAAGTTTCCAAGCACCTTACTGTATCAGAACAGCTTTTATGGCATATTGCACTTCTTTGTTCCTAATCGCTTAGCGATATGAGCACGTCACGACTTCATATTATTTGAACACTTTCAGTGGTAGAACATCTTTCGAAATATCACTGGTGACGAACAAGGTATTGCGGTAGTCGGTAAACTGATGCGAGCTTCTTTTAACAACGTTTAGTTTCCGTTACTCAAATGTCATTGAGTGTTTGCCTTAAGCGGTACTCTGGATACCTACCTTGATGCATGGCATGGCAACGGTGCATTACTCCACTAAAACCAGTTTTGTAGGAGTTAAGCGCTCATTAGTTTATTCCGGCATAAGAATTCTTGTTTGTCTAAGTGTTTCCTTTTTAAATCTTACAACGCTCGAGGCTTTTTTTGTTAACGTAGTGGCACAGTACTTAAGAGGTCGGCTTTGAAACTCCTCAGGTGCCTAGTTTAATTCCTTCAGCGGTCAAACCTTGTCTTTACCACGAATTGCCTTGAACAAAAAATTAACGATACGTTGCTGCAGGTCAGAGTAACACATTCGACAGAGCGTCGGAATACGAATTAAGAGCTTTGTTCGCCTTTATTCTTTCCAAAATTGATAGGTACCAATTTGATAAATGGTGGAGAGGAAACGGCAGAATACAGATTATGCATGTCAGATAGCTGCTGTCGATTCTGCCATTAATAAAACAAGGAGCTTATGGCTGATGACATGGACATGGAGTGCAGCGCCCTAAATCGTTGATTTCATGAAAGCAAGAGTGCTGTAGTTGGCCCAGGCATGCGAGTGTAATGGACGTTCCAACAGTTGCAAATTT